TTTCAAAATGTTTTGAAAATAAAGTTCCTACGATGTTCCGATGCTCACTTTTCATTAAATGTTGCGCTTTTCAGTAAACTGAGCAAGGACAAAGTGGAGATGAAATCTTTGAAAAATATTTCAAAAAAACTTTGTTCAGGGATTTGGAGTTGAAGAAAAGAGGAAAGAAGAGAAGAAAGCTAGTTTCGGATAAGTTCGGCATGAATCCTGGTAGAAGAGAGTCGAGTAGCCCTCGCTGAATCGGACTTATTCATCTATATACTTGGATTTTAGCTATGAGGCCACCACCATTGGAAATATTACTTCCGGGGCTTCATTTTGCACTCAAGAATCTCCTAAAGCCAAGTCCGGGTGGGGGAGATATGGTTGGTTGAAGTAGGGGATCAATCCGGTTGGATCGAATCGGCGCGGCTTCACCAAAACAGGCATAACGTTTTGCACAGGAGGCATTTTAATGCAAGGTTTGCTCCATTGGAAAGCTAACTTCTGGGGCTTCAATCTGGACATCTACTGACCACTTTTTGGCCTTGGCAGCCATGTACCGGCCACCAATTTAGCCGGCTGGCCAGCAAAATAGCAGGCCGACCATTTATAGTAGCCGGCCGACCATTTATTTGGCCGATTGTCTCCTTTTCTAGCCGGTACCTCCTTTTTTCCTTTTTTAGGCATGGTGCAAGCTAGCTGTGCCAGCTAGAGTGCATAGACCCTCCCCGCTATACACGTGCGTGGCTGTTTTGAACCTTTGCACCCTTTTACCCAAGCTTCTCATGGAAGCTTGACCTCTTTTGGTCTAGCTTCTTGAGGAAGCTTGACCCTTTGTCTTAGCTTCCTCAAGAAGCTTGGACCTTTGGGTTAGCTTCCCTTGAAAGCTTGACCCCATTGACTCTTTTATTTTAGCTTCTCTAAGAAGCTTGGAGCCATTACCTTGTCCATATAAGGAGACGTCCCCTATCCTTTAAAGAGGTTCAGCAAAATTAGACCTAAAACAATATATATTCTGATATATACATCTTCTCTCTCTATATCTTCCTCTCTCTCTTCATTTGTGTGTGTTTGAGGGCCTAAAAGTGTATTTAGTTCTTAGTTTTGTACTAAGTCACCTACTATTACACCATACTTCAACTTTGGAGGTCTTGAGGGTTTGTTCTTGGAGCTTTGGGTCGGTTTTGATCAGAAGAAGAGGGCTGAGCTTGCTGTTCTTGAAGTGTTCTTCAAGGGTAACACTATTTACTTTATATTCCCCAATCTTGCACTAGTCTTTAACCTATCTTTCATACTGATTTAAGCTTTGTGTATAACTGAAAAAAGTCTTGTATTTGCATGCTTAAGATCTTTCATTAGGGTCATTTTGGTGTAGGGGGTCAACCTCCCCCTCTTAGGCCTTGTTTGGCCCTTTTTGTGCTCTCTTTGATAAGCTTTGGGGACTTTTGTGTATTGGCCTCCTCATCACTGAATTCTAGTGGATTTTCAGTGGTGAAGAAGGGGTTTTGATGTTTTGCATAGGGGAGGGACACCCCTCTCCCCTGGTCTCTCTTTTGTTTGCATTTTTGGCCCATAAGGGTAGCATGTATGATTAGTTGTTCTTGGCTTCATTTCAGAGGTTTTTGGGTGTTATTGGGTCATATTATGACTCTATTTTTGGTCCGATTAGTGCCCCCTTCCATGCTTGATATACTTGCTTTATATTCCTCTCTTTTGCCTAAAAGTGCATCATGTATTTAGTCTACCATGCTCTCATGTTTTGGCCTAACTTTTTGAAGTTCTTAGCCATGTCTTACCATGCTTGAGGTCTGTTGGGAACTGTTTTGGTCGTATTTGCCGTGTCTAGGGTAGCCCCTTTGTATTTTGGCTTGTGAGCCTTGAGGGTATGAGTCATGAGCATGCTTTAGTCGGGTTATTCCAGTGATTTGAAATCACTTCTTATGCTGTTTCAGTCCCTAATCCATGCTTGTATGCTTGCATTCATCATCCCTTTCACGCCTTGAAGGATTGTTCTTTTATGCCTAAAAATGAGTCATTGTGTATGCTACCATGTTTAGGCATTTGGGGCTACCATATCAGTGGGTTTTGGGGTGTATTTTGATGCATAGAAACTCTGTTTTTGGTTGCATAGTCCATACCATGTTTGCTTGGGATAGGTGTTGAGCGATGCTCTCTTTTGTGGCCTTGAATGCCTTCTATTTCGCACCCATTCCCTAGCAGGTTTTGGCATCATTCTTCGCATGCTTTTCAGAGTTTAACATGAGTGTTTAACGTCCATGTATATCGCCTTCAAGTACGCCTAGAGTTGTCCCCTTCCATGCTTAGATGATGAACCTTGTTGTGTGCATGCTTGCATGCATAATTGGTGCTCTTTTGCACCATCTTTGGCCACTGTTTTGGGGCATGGCTGAGGCCTCCCATTTCAGTTTAAGACCACCCTTGTACATAATTGCATACTTGGCATGATGTATGTTGCATTACATTAGTTGCATGCTTGCATTATATCTTGTTTGCATTTTTGCATATTGTTTAGCTAATGGCATCACATGACCTTGTTGCATACTTGGCATACTAATGTGACATTAGATTAGCTTGCATGTCTTGGTAGTATTGCATTGTATTAGGCTAGCATGCTCATATTGCATTGCATTAAGTTGCATCATTTTGCATTATATATGATATACATGCATTGCATTAGGTTTGGTTTGGGGTGTCAAACCAAATTTGAGGAATGGGATGCGTTCGTACTTGAAGTGACGTAACGCGCCTCACTCCTCGGTCGCCAATGCCCTTGACCTCAACATGATAGGGCACGAGGCATTCATCACTTTTATGCATTCATTTTACATTGAATTGTAAACTTGGCCTCTTAGGCCATCATGCATCGAAATGGGCAATTAATCGGGCCACACTCCCTTGAGTCCATAACATGATTGGGAGAGTGGCCATGCACACATTTGCTTGAAAATTCCATGCCATACACTGCTTGCCCTCTGCTGCTGCCAACTGCAGGATTCTGCAGGAATAAATGGCCGACCGGCCATCTTTAGTGCCGACCGGCCATCAGTGTCCAGCCGATGACACAAGCTTTGGCCGATATACCCATTCCCATGGCCGGTGGCCTTTTGTTCTGGCCGGTGGCACTCCACAGCACTCAGAAGGAAGCTCAAAGTAGTTCTGGAAACTTTCATAATTTTCAGAGGAGCAAGGCAGTGTAAACAGAGGCAACAGTGGCATGGTACGGGTTTCCGAGCAAGGCGAGTCAAGCATGCATCATCCACGCATTCCGAGGCAGGGCTGCGGCCACCTTCCTTCTGCATTTAATTCGTTAATCAATTAGAAGTTCTATAATAATTAATTTAGTAGTATTTATTTTGTTGTGTAATATTTATTCGGACCCTCCGAGCGAGGGCAATTGTGTAATAAGTGTGTGTGGATGTGTGTATGTCTTCCAACCCCACGTCTTTCTCCCTTTTATTTATCCGCTTTCAGTGGTTAGATTAGGGCAGGCTTGAATTAGCATCCTTATGCTCGCATGTTTTGCATCCATTCATCTGTATTGCATCCACCGGGCTCGGCGCATCATGCTAACTGCATAGTATTTCCATTCCAACTTGAATATGTGTATCGAGTTGTCGCATTTCACATGTCATTCTTAGATTAGCCGAGCCTATTCTAGTTGCATTCTGTATGTGTTGCATTAGCCATTTTAACATGAACTAGGATCATGCATGATTACTAACTAGTTTCTTGTTTTGGTTCGGAGTACATTGTAAGTGTTTATGCTTTAGCATCTCGCATAAGTGTGAATGTTAATATGACATCATGCTTACAATGAGGCTACTTGCTTATGTGATATAACTGCTTGAATGCCTGTGGGTGAAGGTTGGATTGCTTGAATTGGAACAATTCGTTGAAATCTGTGTTTTAGCCTACTTGCGAGTAGCAAATCTCAAATCATTTTCCAAATAAATGGCTATGCAATGCTTTGTTCCAAATTAGACGGTCTAGTCTATACTTGTTTGCTGTGTGCATAACATAGTAATTCTAGGCTAATAATCAGAATAAGAACCCATGTGTTTTCAAAAACAAGATATCATGTTTAGTAGAGGCCGATCTTTGATCGGGCGAGTGGGGGTGCTCATAGCTGACCTTTCCCAATCGTACCCAAGTTCCCGAGCCGAGGCAACTTTGGTGATGACGGACACGTGGCCTTAGGCAACGAGTCAGGGTTTCCTAAATTCCCCAAAATAAAAAATTTAGGTGGCGACTCTGTATCTGGCAAAGCAGTCAATGTTTGACACTTCTTTACAAAAAAATCTGTTTTCAAAAACGATTTGCCGGATTTGGACTCTTTGGTTCAAGATTTAGAACTGCGACAATTTGAGTCCGAGCTGTAGCGAGCCCAAATGAACAGAACGGGATTCATCCTCCTGGGACATTCGGGGACGTCTACAATATGCAAGTTGAACATTGTCGGCATTTCACCTTATTATGCAACTGGAACAATTCATTGAAGCATATAAACAAATAGATAGTGAGCATAGATTCTTTGCACTCTTTTAACATAAAAAGAGCCAACACCATTGCATTGCCTAACAAGCTAAAATAAACACTGCCCACCATAAATATATGCGCCATATATAAAGGAAGAGAAAAGGGAGACCTTGAGAGCGCGTTTGTTGAAATAGAGCTTCCTTAAGCGGTTGATGGTGTGAAAGACATGGCCTCTGTGAATGGGAAATTCGTCACCCATCCAACTCTAGAAGGCAGACCCAACAGGCTCTGTTCTTGGGAGCTTCTCAATCCTCCAACACAAACTCTTTGGTTCTTCTTCTTCTTCTTCTCTTCTTCCTTCGTGGGTCGAAACTGAAGTCTCATTCTCAGATGAATAATGATTATGAGGGGGGAGGTGGAGAAGTTGAAACTTGAAGAATGGAATTGGGTAGCGGCATAGAGAGAGATTGAAATGGTTCCATGTATTACGACTCTAAAGATCCTCCTCCTCTCAAACTCAAACAAAAGGGCCACTGTTTTCATGCTTACCAATCACCTAAACAATAGCCATCATCATGGGACTAATATTAATATGAAGTCAAGTACTACCATTAAAAGCATAATAATATGAAAAAGTGTAAATTACATTTATGATGAGTCTAGAGATAATTTCAGAGAGATCAAAGAAGACTAAAGAGAAAGAAAATGGTGGAATCGCATACGCAGATCCTTGGTCGTAGACGTCGATGGAAGCGAAGACACGTTCGACACCAGACTTGAGCCTGGTGAGAGTGGCCTTCTTGTGTCCGAGCTCGCCAGTGTCAAGAACAGAGCTGCAAATGAAAGAAGAAAACCCTAGCGGCTGAAATTAGGGGAAGAGAGACTGAAAGATAGAGAGAAGGAAAAATAGAGAGAGGACATACCTGGGGCAATGCTCCAATGGTGGATTGACGGTGGTGATCGTGCGCGATGGCAGTGATGCTCCCGTACCCGACGACGATGGAGACAAAGGCAA